GTTGCTCTCAAAGGGCCACTAAATCCATGAACAGAGAATCCATAGATGCAGAGGGTCAACTATAATTTTTCTACATAGTGGCCGGTGCGCTTCGGTTGTCACCCAATTTCGGTCCACAGATTGATTGACAACTCCCATCACTTTTGATTATATCCATCATGTGAGACACTGCTCTCTCTCTCCCCCACCATCACATGCATGGTTGATGGGGACGAGGGAGAGAGCCTTCTCAGTGGTGGCCCCCCAGCTTTGGAATTCCCTCCCTAGGAAGATCAGACAGGCTCCCACCTTGTCCTCCTTTCGGAGTCAACTAAAAACCTGAATGTTCCGGTGCGCTTTTGACTAAGCAGCTCACCAGTAACTCTCTTGTCCCCTACTTAAAGTTCTGCACTTTACAACAGCCCACATTTTACACTGGTATACGTCCTACCTCAACATGCGCTTGACAGTATTTCCTGCCCAGTTTACTATATTGTTGCACTTTCCTGAGCTCCTGTAAAAATATATTGCACTCACTGAATCTGTACCTCAGCCACGTTTCTTTCAGCCATAGTTTTTATATTGCTTTCAATTGTGCTGTTATTTGTTTTATCTGATGTTTTAATTGGTTAAAGTGTTTGCATGTGTGTTTTAATTGTAATCTTGGGCGTGTCCCTTGTAAGCCACCCTAGGGGAGATGGTTGGCGGGGTATAAAAATAAAGTTATTATTATTATATTATTATGTGGACTGGGAATTGCAACAGCACTTGTAGCTCTGAGGTTGGAGAACGGTTACAGGGCATTTTAAAGTCAGACATCATATCCACCAGCCTTGTATCTAAATTCAAACCCTACTCTCCTGACTAAACAGAACAAACTTTAGTCTTCCAGATGCTACTGTATCACACCTCCATCAGCTTTCATCATGTCTAATGATGAGGAATGTGGGAGTTGTAGTCCAGGATCTGGCAGGCCACATAAAATGGCACAGCAAGCCGGATTTGGCCCATGTGCCTTGTGTCAAATATGTGCTTTAAGGGGTCTCTAGAAGATTCCAAACCATTCTGTTTCTACATACGCTTATCTGACTTGGTTATTTCATTTCACATGCACCTATTGTCATTGTGAAGGCAATGTTTCCAGAAACCTGTTTAGTTGCTTTGTGGGGGGGAGGGGGGGGGGGGTCTATCCCAATTCTTTCTGCCTTTAAAGTTTCTGTTAAAGCAGGGGTCCTCATAATATGGCCCGGGGGCTGGATACGGCCCTCCAAGGTCATTTACCCGGCCCTCGCTCAGGGTCAACTTAAGTCTGAAACGACTTGAAAGCATACAACAACAACAATCCTACCTCATCAGCCAAAAGCAGGGCCACACTTCCCATTGAAATACTAATAAGTTTATGGCAAAAGTTTATGGTCTCTTCCAACTTTAGGGTTTTATGATCTATATATATATAAATGCTCTGTGCATAATGAGTACCTTAAAAACAAAAGAGCCAATGAACGAAATCACACCAAATTTGGCAACAAAACGTCTCACAACACAAGAAGTGACCATCACTCAAAAATTATGATTTTGTCATTTGGGAGTTGTAGTTGCTGGGATTTATAGTTCACCTACAATCAAAGAGCATTCTGAACTCCATCAATGATGGAATTGAACCAAACTTGGCACACAGAACTCCCATGACCAACAGAAAACACTAGAAGGGTTTGGTGGGCATTGACCTTGAGTTTGGGAGTTGTAGTTCACCTACATCCAGAGAGCACTGTGGACTCAAACAATGATGGATCTAGAACCATGATGGCAAACTTATGACACACGTGTCAGAACTGACACGCGTAGACATTTTTGATGACACGCAGCTGCATGCCGCTTCATACAGAGAAGTTTGTATCCCAAGAAGGACATTTCATCCTCAGCTCCTGCATGGCCAGGTGCAGGAGCCGAGGATAAAACATTTGCAGTAGTTTAGCGTCTAGTTCTGGAACTTCCAGTTAGGCCGTTAGGGAATCTTTGGCCTCACTTCCGGCCGGGGTAGCAGGGAGCAGCGGAATGCCATGGGGGACACATCTCTGGGGGCCCTGTGATCTCCATCACCAGCAACCACATAATCACAGCAACCATCATCCAATTTACTGTTCTGGGGTGTTGTGGATTTCTAAGTGACCATCATTACTGAGAAAAGTGAGGGGAGGAGGGAGCTAGAAGAGGAGAGAGTCTGAGTTACAGGTGCAATTTCCCACCATATATTATTATTATACCTTTTTGTTATCTAAACTATAAATATCACAAAATTATAGTGTTTTTTCCCCTCAAAGTGACACCACACCCGAGTAATGCTTGCTTTTTGGTGAACTTTGACACACCAAGCTCAAAAGGTTGCCCATCACTGATCTAGACCAAACTTGGCACGAATATTCCATATGCCCAAATATGAACACAGATGGAGTTTGGGGGAAATAGACCTTGACATTTGGGAGTTGTAGTTACTGGGATTTATAGTTCACCTACAATCAAAGAGTGTTCTGAACCCCATCAACAACAGAATTGGGCCAAACTTCCCACACAGAACCCCCATGACCAACAGAAAATATTCAAGGCCATCCAGTCCAACTCCCTTCACCAGGGCAAGAAAACGTAATCAAAGCCCTCCTGACAAAGAGCCATCCAGCCATAGATATAGATAGATATGATTCACACACACACACACACACAGAGAGAGATATTATCATAGATTTGAAAACAATTCCTGAAGAAGGACAATTATATCTTGCATGTTCCAGAGTTGGCAAACCAGACACTCTCCACATCAACACTGACAAAGAAACAGCAAGAAATACTGTTTACCCACAAGCATAAAGAAATTACATATATTAGAAACCAACACTTTCTCATTATTTTCCAGATCACCAGACTGGGCCACAGCAACACGTGGCAGGGGACGGCTAGTCATTTATAAAATAGAGTCCAAGTTCACTTCATTACAGTCAATGACCAGCTCATAAAACAGTCAAATGTCTGAAATGCTTTTTTGATGTTTATTGCTGCAGGTGCATCTATACCAGGGATGGACAAACTTGGACCTCAACTTCCAGAAATCCCAGCCAGCTTACCGGTTGTTAGGAACTGTGGGTGTTGAAGTCCAAAACACCTGGGTGGCCCAAGTTTGCCCATGCCTGATCTATACAAATGTACCTCCCTCAGAAACTGCCAGTCCAACTGTGGAACCAAAGATCCCACCCTCCACCTGGACCCCTCCCTTCTTCCTTAGAGAATAACTGGGCAAGCAAAAGGAGCTTGGTGGCTAGCATGATGGTCCACAGGCAAGACCAGTCCTTGCCCAGCACCCACCAGACTACTTCCAAGAAGTGTCTGCTTCCCTGGAGACTAGGACACGAAACAATGGCTACAAGAAAGGAGATTCCATCTGAACATGAGGAAGAACTTCCTGACTGTGAGAGCCGTTCAGCAGTGGAACTCTCTGACCCGGAGTGTGGTGGAGGCTCCTTCTTTGGAAGCTTTTAAACAGAGGCTGGATGGCCATCTGTCAGGGGTGATTTGAATGCAATATTCCTGCTTCTTGGCAGAATGGGGTTGGATTGGATGGCCCATGAGGTCTCTTCCAACTCTTTGATTCTATGATTCTGCAGTTTCCACAAACTGGGCCAGTCAGCCATTGGATGTACAGTTTTACTATGTCATCACTCCACCCCATCCCAATACCCAGGATCCCAAAAACCAGGAGCTCCCGGTGGCGCAGTGGGTTAAAGCCCTGTGCCGGCAGGACTGAAGACCGACAGGTCGCAGGTTCGAATCCGGGAGAGGCGGATGAGCTCCCTCTATCAGCTCCAGCTCCTCATGCGGGGACATGAGAGAAGCCTCCCACAAGGATGATAAAAACATCAAAAATCATCCGGGCGTCCCCTGGGCAACGTCCTTGCAGACGGCCAATTCTCTCACAACAGGATGCTCCTGACACGACCAAAAAAAAAATAAAAAATCCCAATACTACATCCAGGAACAGTAACACCAGGCAGCAGTTGTTTCTGAAAAGTGTCTCTTAACTCTGGCCTGAACCTTCAAACTAGTGTGGTGTTTGCAAAACCTGAGTATGCTCCCTTTTTCCTGCCAACCCCCTCCCCCAAATGTGTATGTCTATACCAGGGGTCCTCAAACTTTTTAAACAGAGGGCCAGGTCACAGTCCTCAAACTGTTGGAAAGCCGGATTATAATTTGGAAAAAAAATGAATGAATTCCTATGTGCACTGCACATATCTTATTTGTAGTGCAAAAAACACTTAAAAACAATACAATAATTAAAATGAAGAACAATTCAATAAATATAAAATGTATTGTCGAAGGCTTTCATGGCTGGAATCACTAGGTTCTTGTAGGTTTTTTCGGGCTATAGGGCCATGTTCTAGAGGCATTTCTCCTGACGTTTCGCCTGCATCTATGGCAAGCATCCTCAGAGGTAGTGAGGTTGTTAGGTGTCTTGTGTCCAAATGTGATGTCAAAAACACTTAAAAGCAATACAATAATTAAAATAAAGAACAAATATAAACTTATTAGTATTTCAATGGGAAGTGTGGGCCTGCTTTTGGCTGATGAGATAGGATTGTTGTTGTTGTGTGCTTTCAAGTGGTTTCAGACTTAGGTTGACCCTGAGCGAGGGCCGGGTAAATGACCTTGGAGGGCCGCATCCGGCAGCACCCCTGGTCTACACACCCCAGAGAAGCAAAGCAGAGAGACAGGGTCGTGCGGCACCGGCAAAGACAAAGCCAGCTGCTGCTGTGTGGGCGCCACTACACTGGATTGAGTGACCTAGTAACCCATATTTTCCTGTTTTAAGAGGCTTTCCTCCTCCTCCTCCTCTTCTTCCCTCATCCAAAGGGGAAAGGGAAGGGAGACAAGCCCAGAGGGTCCAAGCCGGGAGGGCGGGGGGGGGGGAGCCCTGTTCTTCCTCCTCCCCAACCAGGCACCTTCCCCCCTCCCTCCCCCCTTCCCCCGGGGGGCACCTCTGCTGCGGGGTCCCTCTTGGGGGCCATGCCTCCTCTTGCAGGCGCTGCTTCCGGCGCTGGAGGCTCGGGCGCGCGGCCCCCTTCCGAGGGGGCTCCCGAAGGGCGAGAAGACGCCGCTGAAGAAGCGGCTGAGGAGGAGGCGGCGCTCCTGAGGCGAGGACGAGGCGGCAGTGGCAGTGGGGCTCCGGGGGCCTTCCTCCTCCTCCGCCTCCTCTTCCTCGGGGGCTGCCTTCCTCCCGACGCTCCGCGACCGGCCTGCTCCGGGCCCGAGAGCCAGGCATCCTGAGCTGCTGTGCCGCTTGCTCCGAGCCAAAGCGCGCAGCCTCAGCCCTTCGGCGCCTCCGCCACCGCCGCCGCTCCAGTGGCGGAAGCTGCAGCTCCGGCGCAAAGGCGGCAGAGGCGGAGGGAGGGGCGGCGGGGGCGGCGGAGGGGTGGGCCCGGCGTGGCTGCGGCGGGAGGACACCTTGAGGCGGCCCAGCTCCAGCTGCCCGGTGCTCAGCGCCCGGAAACTGCGGAAAGAGGCCGCGGCGCCGCGCCCCCTTTCCGGCTCCTGCTCGGCGTCCTCCTCCTCCTCCTCCTCGTCCTCTTCCTCCTCTTCCAGGAGGAGCCCGTGCGGGGGCCAGGGGGCCACGGCCAGCGCCTCCTTCTTGACCAGGGTCACCGAGATGCGGTAGACGGCCCTCCTCCTCCTCCGCGGCGCCATCACGGCCGGGGAGGCCGGGGCCGAAGCCGGCTCGCCGCCCTCCTCCAGCAGGAGCATCACGGCTTGCTAGGAGCCCACGCCGGCTCCGGCCCTGGCCCTCCGGCATCCAGGTCGAGGAGGCGGCGGCGGCGGCGGCAGCACCTCCGCGGGGGCTCCATGGAGGCGCCCCTCCGAGCCCGGCGCCCGCCCCCCGCGCACTACATCGCGCGGCTTATTGTTGACAGCAGCGAGGGAGGGAGGGAGGGAGGGCGCCTCCGACGACGAGCCCGCCTTCCCTTCCTGGGGGACGGAGCCGCCCGAAAGAGGCAGGAGCACAAGGATAGATAGATAGATGGATGGATGGAGAAGAAAAGAAAGGAGCAGGGTCGAGAGCCGGCGCTGCGCTGCGCCTAATCCCTGCCCGAGACGCACACGCTCCGCAGCCGAAGCGCGGAGATCCCCAAGAGCTGCCTCCTCGCAAGCAGCCGCGGCGCCTGGAAATCCCGGAATGGATTCCCCCTCTGCTGCTCCTGGGAAGCGCCGCAAAACAACCCAACATGCACACAGAGAGATTAGATAGGTTAAACAGAAACAGACAGACATTAATTATTATTTATTATTTCGTGTATTTCTACCCAGGGGCGGCCCTAGGTAATTTTCAACTGTAAGCAAACAGTATTTTGGCACCCCCCCCCCCCCCAAACAATCACTGATATATATATTTTCTGTTCGTCGTGGGAGTTCTGTGTGCCATAGAATCATAGAATCAAAGAGTTGGAAGAGACCTCATGGGACATCCAGTCCAACCCCCTGCCAAGAAGCAGGAATATTGCATTCAAATCACCCCTGACAGATGGCCATCCAGCCTCTGTTTAAAAGCTTCCAAAGAAGGAGCCTCCACCACACTCCGGGGCAGAGAGTTCCACTGCTGAACGGCTCTCACAGTCAGGAAGTTCTTCCTCATGTTCAGATGGAATCTCTTCTCTTGTAGTTTGAAGCCATTGTTCCGCGTCCTAGTCTCCAAGGAAGCAGAAAACAAGCTTGCTCCCTCCTCCCTGTGGCTTCCTCTCACATATTTATACATGGCTAAACATGCCCAGACTAAAACTATTACATATTCTTCCAACCAGAGGCGGCCCTAGGTAATTTTCAACGGTAAGCAAACAGTATTTTGGCACCCCCCCCCCCAAACAATCACTGATATATATATTCTGTTCGTCGTGGGAGTTCTGTGTGCCATATTTGGTTCAATTCCATCATTGGTGGAGTTCAGAATGCTCTTTGATTGTAGGTGAACTATACATCCCAGTAACTACAACTCGCATATGTCAAGATCTATTTCCCCCAAAAGCGCCTCAAGAGCACCCCTGGGCAAAATCAACTATACTGCAAATGCTTACTTTGCATAATGGGTTGAGCCGCCCCTGCTTCTACCCCACCCTTCTCAACCCCCGAGGGGGGGACTCAGGGCGGCTTACAAAAAGGCACAATTTGATGCCTACACAGGAATACAGATAAAATATAGACAGCAATTAAAACAGTCTGTGTTTTAAATGGATTAGCTGGTTTTCCCTGTAATAGGCAATAAGAGCACCTAGAGCTTTTCACCTTAAGAGCAGACAAGCACCCCGAGCTCTGAGGATTACCTGGGAAGGAATCCCACTGGAGCATTGCAGCACACCCAAATACCTGGGAGTCACTCTGGACCGTGCTCTGACCTACAAGAAGCACTGCCTGAATATCAAGCAAAAAGTGGGCGCTAGAAACAATATCATACAAAAGCTGACTGGCACAACCTAGGGATCACAACCAGACACAGTGAAGACATCTGCCCTTCAGCTATGCTACTCTGCTGCTGAGTATGCATGCCCAGTGTGGAACACATCTCACCACACTAAAACAGTGGATGTGGCTCTTAATGAGACATGCCGCATTATCACGGGGTGTCTGTGCCCTACACCACTGGAGAAATTACACTGTTTAGCCGGTATTGCACCACCTGACATCCGCCGGGAAGTAGCAGCCAATAGTGAAAGGACCAAGGCAGAGACATCTCCAGCTCATCCCCTGTTTGGGTATCAGCCAGCACGTCAACAACTTAAATCAAGAAATAGTTTTCTAAGATCTACAGAGACACTCGCTGGAACACCCCAGCAAGCAAGAGTCCAAAAGTGGCAGGCTCAAACCCAGAACCTCAATCAATGGCTGATACCAAATGAGAGACTCCCCCCTGGGCACACAGAAAACTGGGCGACTTGGAAGGCGCTGAACAGACTGCGCTCTGGCACCACGAGATGCAGAACCAACCTTAAGAAATGGGGCCACAAAGTGGAATCCACGACATGCGAGTGTGGAGAAGAGCAAACCACTGACCACCTGCTGCAATGCACCCTGAGCCCTGCCACATGCACCATGGAGGACCTTCTTGCGGCAACACCAGAGGCACTCCAAGTGGCCAGATACTGGTCAAAGACATTTAATCAACTACCAAGCTTGCAAAGTTTGTTTTGTGTCTCCTTGTTTGTTTTGTTCTGTTAGAAATGTAATACAATTGTCTGGTTGCCCCTGACACAATGTACGGACCACCAGGAGTCCACAAGAATTAAAATATAGTCTTACTACTACTACACCACTGCAACAAGAATGACTGGTCTCACAAAACCCTCTTATACTGCTGAGGGTTATTAAATATGGTTTTCTGTGGCCAAGGAGATGCCGACTCCTGGATGGCATATGTTCTGTGTCAGAATCATAGAATCATAGAGTTGGAAGAGACCTCAAGGGCCATCTAGTCCAACCCCCTGCCAAGAATAGATGGCCATCCAGCCTCTGTTTAAAAGCTTCCTAAGAAGGAGCCTCCACCACACTCAGGGGCAGAGAGTTCCACTGCTGAACAGCTGTCACAGGAAATTCTTCTTCATAGAACCACAGAGTTGGAAGAGACCTCATGGGCCATCCAGTCCAACCCCCTGCCAAGAAGCAGGAACATTGCATTCAAAGCACCCCTCACAGATGGCCATCCTGCTCTTTTTAAAAGCCCCCAAAGAAGGAGACTCCACCACACTCCAGGGCAGAGAGTTCCTCATGTTCAGATGGAATCTCCTTTCTTGTAGTTTGAAGAAACTAGAGTTGATGTGATTTATCCAATGCAACGTTCCGAATCAGCACCCCAAATAACCAAACTGAAGTTGACCAAAAACTGATTCATAACCTCATGATTGGAGAATAGTCTCTGGTCAAAGAAAGGTTGGGAACCACTGCTCTAAATGGAAGCTATGGTTAAACCATTCAGCCACATTCTGCCAAGCACAACAGCTATTGAAGATCTAAAAACCAGGGCTTCTTAAACTGTGGGTCCCAACCCCAAATGGGGTCTCACTGAGCTCAATGTTGGGGTCCCAAAAGGTTTCTGAACATGACCCGTTTCAGACATATACACAAATCTGTTGTGCAAAGTTTACAGTGCAAAAGATGCTTCAGCTGCAGCACTCCATAAAAAGGGGGAAACCAGCCTCTTTAGTAATTTACACCATGTAACACAATTTTTGTTCCTGCGTTATAAATGTCATTTCCTAAGTGGTTCTATGAAGAAAAAAAAACAAGGGAAAAGTTGATTAAACTGAAAAAATTTTGTTTTGGCAGGACACCCCCCTAGCACATTTTGCTCTAGTTTTTCAGTGAATATCTCATATAGTTAAACATCATTAGAGCATGCATCATTTGTATCTCTCTTTTTTGTAACATACATAAATGGGAATCAAAATCTGCCTCATCAACCAGGGCCCTGGGAAAACATGAATATAAAACATGACATTAAGTGCAGCTCCTTGCTACTAAAGTGGGTTTCTCATTAAGATCTTTTCCTCCAAAGTTGCTGTGTCTGTAACAGCATTGCCTTCCAAAATAGACTACTGCAACGCTCTCTACGTGGGGTTGCCTTTGAAGACTGCCTGGAAGCTTCAACTGGTCCAACGGACAGCAGCCAGATTGCTAACTGGAGCAGCTCTCAGGGAGCATACAACTCCCTTGTTGTGCCAGCTCCACTGGCTGCCAGTTCGCTACCGGGCACAATTTAAAGTGCTGGCTTTAGCCTATAAAGCCCTAAACGGTTCTGGCCCAACTTACCTGTCCAAATGAATCTCCCCTTATGAACCTGCAAGGATTTTAACATCATCTGGAGAGGCCCTGCTCTTGGTCCCGCCATCATCGCAAGTACGGTTGGCGGGAACGGGAGACAGGGCCTTCTTAGTGGTGGCCCCTCAGCTATGGAACAGCCTTCATAGGGAGATTAGATAGGCTTCCTCGCTCCTATCATTCCGGAAAATCTTAAGACATGGCTATTTGAGCGGGCATTTGAAAATACGGAGTAACAGATATAATAACGGAATAACTGTATGGCAGAACTGGACATTGTTTTAATTATTATCGATTGAAGTATGTTTCATTATAATGTTTGATTTTATTGTTGCTGATGTTTTTATATTGTATATTGTAATTGTGTCCTTGGTGGCACTGAATTCTTGCCTTGTAAACCGCCTCGAATCGCCGGAAGGCTGAGAGGGGAGGTATAGAAATGTACTAAATAAATAAATAAATAAAATCTTCCTTTATTGTGATAAAATAAAAATTAAAGAGAACTTTAATAAGCAGGGTGATCTGGTGTCATAAGTCACCTCTGTGAAGTTGCAAAACCCTTCTGAAGTTCTCAAATACTAATCAACAGAAACCAGCTTTGCAAACTGACTTATCTTTTTTTCATATCAGTCATCCCTTAATTGAATACATACAGTCACATATTTCAGTCGGAAACCATATTTACTGTAGCTATATGGCTACTTGACAATAGCATGCCTCTCAATCATTTGAGGCAATGCACAAAAATCCACGCCAGGCTTTCCAGTGAGCAGAACCGTGAAAATAGGCTTCTTACTACTGAAGAATCCATTTTTATCAGCTTTTGGTTATTCAATCAGCAGCAGGAGCACTTTCAACTATAAATATATAGTTTAAAGATTTCATTCTTTTCAGAGGTAGGATGTCTTTCTCACATAAATGCACAAGGTTTGGTTTTTCAGCATAAGTTTTAGAAAACGCCTTCTACAAAGCAAACTGCACATTCCAGGAGAAAACCCCAACTCCCCTTCAAAGGCCCTGATTGTGGATTTGGAGACACACACACATTTCCTTCTTAACACACTTTAAAGCAACATAGCGGCATTTTAAGTATTCAGATGCCATTTCCC